AATATAACAGTTTATGTTTAAGGTGCGTGTTATTGTTTAAACTCACCAACTGGTTGGTTTAAAAAAAAAAAAAGTCCAACCTGCCATAACAGCTAATAAAACCTTTTGTGTGCTTAATGATCCAGCAAATAATTAATGAGCTATTATTGAGTCAAGGTATAAATAAAATAATATGATTTTGCAATTTCATGAAGGTATTCAGAGTTCACCTAAAATAATAATAAACAGTTGGTCTTCTTATATTATTCCCTCTATATCAGAGGGAGATGGACAAGAAGGCATTCAAATAAATCCGCCTCCAGCTCTTCGGCAATTCACTGTCTTAAAGAAGACTGACTGGATGAAAGTTCAAGATGACCTGAGAGGGGTTAATAAAGAAAAGCAGCGTCTGAGAGAGGCGGCTAAACACAGAGAGGCCCTGCACCTTCGGTCAAAAGAAGTGGTGAAACTGTGGTCCAATACCATCACTGTAAGTAGTTTGTTAAAAGCATGTTGGATTTCACATGCGGGCACAGAAACATAAGTGTGGACATGTCTGTTTCAGAGTAAAGGTCAGAAGAGGTTAGAAGCCAAGAAGATTCGGGAGCAGATGGAGGAGGAAGAAAGGAAACAGATTGAAATGGAAGAAAACAGTTTTAAGGAACAAAAGCGGCAAGAGGCCATTGAAAAGGCCAGGACTCAGCATTACTATCAAACCGACAGAGTCAGAGGATTACATGTCAGTGTTAAGCATTTCACACGTAACATGTTGCGTAAACTCTGTGGTAATTAATTGTTGCTTCTTCTGCAGAGTGCACTCCTGTTGAGCGACGTGCTGAAACAGAGGGAGGCTCAGATTGAGCTGAAGCAACGGATGAAAAGAGCCTCTGAAGACGTGAACAAAACGTACCTGGAAGTGGTAAAAACCAAAGAGGAAGAAGCCTCGAAACAAGAGCAGGAGAAAGCTCTGCAGAGGAAGCTTCAGAGACTGGCTGCAGCAGAAGACCTGAAAAACCAGTAAGACCTCTTCCAGTTAGTCTTTGTGAGCACTGATTATCGCCCACAGCCCAAGGCAAAGAGTGATAATGTAATCAGAAAATTATTTTAGTGTAAAACTCTGGCATAAGTCTTAAAATAAAGTTTGAAACTACACCATCTACAGTGATTAAAGTACCAAGTTAAATATAAAATCATGACTTGATACTTTCTGCAGGATACAACAAAAGGAGTTTGCAAGAGAGCAAGTGAAGCTGGCAAACAAGAAGGATGGAGAGGATATACAGCGTCTATCTGAGCTCCATCAGTGGGAGCAAAAACTGGAGTCAGAACGACAAGCGGAGCAGAAGAAAAACCTCATGCAAGCTCACCTGGTCGGTCCAATCACCAAGGATGATCATGCATGTGCAGCCCTGTCTCACCACGCGTTAAACTGCCGATGCATTTCGTCTTCTTACAGGATCACATCGACAACAGAGCCCAAATAAAAATGCAGGACGCCGAAAAACGGGAGGCTGAGGAAGAACAAAGGAAACTTTTTGTCTCAACCAAACAAAAAATGACAAAGTTACGGAAAGAAAGAGAGCAGGAGTTGTTCAGGTAGAGACAGTACCATCAGTTAGATCTGATTTTAAGGTTTTGTAGCAACCGTTTGAACACTGACGTTGTTCTGTTCTCCAGGGAGGCTCAGCTGCACAGAGAGACGATTCTGAACAAACTGAGCGTCACACAGCAGGAGCAAACTGCCACCGAGGAGCAGAGAATAGCCAAAGCTGTGGCTGAGCAGGAGGCAAAACGGACACAGCTGCGACAGGAGGAGAGGAAGAAGAAGTCCGAGATGCTGAAGTCGATCGCGGCGCACAGGGAACTCATGGTAACGTCTTAAATTATACATTACTGACATGAAGGCCGCATCAAACTGTAACACAAACTGCCTAACCAGAGAAAAGAAAAGGAGCACAGAGACCAAATCACCAAGAAGGAAACCCAAGATGCCCTGCAGGCAAAGAGGGAGGCTGACAGGATATTCTTGGAGAAAAAGCAACAGAAGGCTGAAAAACTCAGAGAGGAAGAAATTAAACAGCAGGCCTATAACGCTGCACAAGTGGTAATTATCGTTCCAGCAGGGATTAAATTGGTTTAAACAATTCTGGTCAATCTTGAAGGAAAAAACAAACGACAAAACTTTACAGTTGTCTTTCATTTTTTTTAGGCTGAAAAAAGTGCCAGGTTACAGCGGCTGAAAGAAGAACACAAGTTTGAAGCAAAGACCGCACAACTCATCGCTGAAGAGGAAAACAGGTTTCAGCAGTATTCACAGCAAATCATCAACGCAGCAGTGGAGGCTAAAAAAAACGTGTTTCCACTTTACAAAGCCGCGAGGAAAGGGACTGGAGGCGGGTGCAGTCTTTTGGGGGAAGGTTGGCCCATCTACCTCGTCCATGACTCCACCGGCGCTCAGATGCCCAAATGTGTCACGGCTACTACTGAAAAAATTAAAAAACTGCACCAGCCTGCAGATATCCAGGAGGCGAAGGCACGACTGGGCTTCTTGTGGTGATGGCTGGCAAGTTTTTGTTCCATGAATATCCTAATAAAATGTACAACTGTGTACAATTTTAAAATGTGTGATTAAAAAACAATCACTCAAGAAATACTTTGATAGATTTTAGATCAATACCTGTTGGGTAACTGATTTCACAGTTTAAATTTGGACATTTGAAGATGTAACTAATTAATTTCAAGCAGTTGACATTTCTCTCTACAAAGAAAGTCAAAATGAACTTTCATTTTAATCAACGGCAATTAAAATTAAAATAATCTCTCCTGACAGTGTGTACTATTAGCATTTACTTGTTTATTTTCATCACCATCATAGTTCTGATTTGAAACACGATCACTTTTTTTTAATGTCCAGTTTGTTTTAGTACTATGATGTAATAAAAACAAACTTGACCAACTTTACAAAGCTCTTATACAAAGTGTTCAGTGGATCAACACTTGATGTGGACTATTAAATAAATAGTTCTAGAATTGTGCCGCTCAAGGTGGCTGCACGTTGGAGTAGCCGTTACTTTCATTCTGGGATATTGCTTTTGAAAACTTTATTTCCTCTTTTTTTTCTGGATGTAAATAGCTTTTTTCAGATGATTACTTCCTCTGGTATTAGTTGCTGTGCACCTGGAAGGATTTGTACTGAAAACATTTTACTTTTGAACATTTGCTATGATGCGTAACCATGACAAGTTTTTTTTTTTTTTTACAACCGGGAGCAGCTGATTAACATCTCAAAGCTCAAATATTACCTCAACATCCCCAAATGAGTTGTAAAGGAGGCGCCGTGGATGCATCTCCGTCTACCTGGCGGAGGTGCTTGAGTGACTGACTACTGCGATCCTTGGAGCTGGCAGGAAACGTGGCTCATGACAAGAAGACGTGGATCATCCCCCATCACCTGCAGCTGTCTGTCTGTAATGACGAGGAGCTCAAGCTGCTGAGAGAAGTGGGAGGTGTTCTTCTCTGGGAGAAGTTCTGCCCAACATTCAGGTGGTCCTGCTGCCCAGGAGGACCGAGGGCCCGCTGGGTCCAGGTGGACAGATCGGCATCTGCAGCCAGTTTCTTCAGATCCGCTGTGAGGACTGCTGCGGGAGATCCTTCCTGCCCACAGCCATCATTTATAACGACACTTAATGAAACCAGGATTTTGGGATTAATAAAGTATTTTGAATTGAATCAAAATAAACATGACAGTGAGAATATTCAAAACAGTCATTTTTATTTATCAGACAATAAAGTGTGACTACACAGATATTTCCGTCATAAAATGTCTGTTTATGATTGTAGTTTTGAATGCAAATCATATTCTGGACTCAGCAGATACAGAGTATTATAAGCAACAACAAAAGCAAACAAACAAACAAACAAAAAAATAATTTTTTCAAATTGTCTTAACTCCAGTAGATATTTATAACCAACTTGTCAAGTTCATCTTGTACTAACATCATTTTATCATTCGAAATAACAAAAACCAATACAGTAAAAAATAAAATAAAAATGGTAGCAATGTGATAAGACAAAAGAAATTTCTAATAAAAAAAAAAAAAAAAAACTGGGAAAAACATGCAAGACATTTTGTAAATTAGCTTGACAGGAATTAAAATGTTTGATACAGGAGCTTCTACACAACTCAAATAAAAATTATCCCAAATTTTTTTTTTAAACCATCTTTACCGTATTTTTGAGACTATAAGGAGCACTTAAAATCCTTTATTTTTCTCAAAAATCAACAGTGAGCCTTATAATCCGGTGTGCCTTATGTATTAATTCTGGCTGTGCTTTCTGACCTCCAACAGATTTTATGTTATTGTGAATGAGCTGAATAAAGTTTGACTTATCTGTTTTGTTTTGCCTAATGCACCTTATAATCCGGTGCGCCTTATAGTGCAAAAAACAAACAAACAAAAAAAAAAACGGTAATGTGGTTTACTGTGAAAATGTAAAATAACATCTATGCAGAGATTAATTAAATGTTCAGATCTGCCCCCTCAGTCACTATTAATTATCTGTAAACCATTAACTTACCAGTGTGGAGTTGGCTTGAACAGACTCATCTTGGCTTTGCAAAAAACTGAGGACTAAATAATTTCACAGACTGGTATCAATAAAGCCCACAATCAGTCGCTGTCAGAGCTGGAGCGCGACCGATTCTTTTTGCCATCGCTTCTATTTTTACCTTTAGTACTGTCAGGTCTGGCCGGGCTTCTTCTGTCTTTGGATTTGGAGGAACTCCTGGCTCTCCTTGAGGAATCTGGGCTCCTTTGTCGCCTCCTTTTATCAGCTCTGTCGCTCTCGGAGCTGCTGCTGCGGCGGCGTCTCCTTTGGTTGGCAGCATCTCTGCTTCGGTCTTTTCGATAATATCGGTCTTTGCTGCGGTCTCTCCTGTGACTTCTGCTTCTGGAGCGCCTGCTTCGGTGCGAGTCTCTGGTCTTGCTCCTGTCAGGACTTCTTGACCGACGATCTTTGTCCCTGGACGTTCCTCCTCTCCGATCCTCCCTGTCACTGTTGCGTCGCCTGTCTTGACTTCGGCTTCTTTCTCTCCCTCTGTTTCTTTCTCGTTTTTCCTTATCTTTGGATGCTGTTGGCTCATCTCTATCCCTGTTTCTGCTCCTGGATCTGCGCTCATCCTTTGCAGATGATCGCTCTTTGCTTTTAGACTTTGACAGTTGTTTGATGATTTGGACCGTTCTCTCCTCGGTACTTTTTGTGTCTTCATGCTTTTTATCAGATTCATGACCCTTCGGTCCATCTTTACTTTGATCAGATTCCGACTGCTTTTCTTTCTTATCAACACATTTTTCTTTGCTCCTTGAGCGACCTCTTCTGTCATCACTCTTATGCTTGCTAGCCTTCTCTTTGCTTTTTGACCTTCTACTCTTTTCTTTGCTTTTACTGCGACTGCGAGACTTTTCTTTTTTCTTGGCCTTGTGTTTGCTATGCTTGTCCTTGTCTGCTTTTTCTACGGTGTCGTTTTCTTTGCTTTTAGAGCGACGAGACCTACGCTTGTCTTTTTTACTCTCATCTGTGTGTTCATCTTGTGCATTGGAGGTCCTTCTCTCTCGCCTTGGAGCTTTTGTTTCTTCATCTCTAGTCTCATTCATTTCACTTCTGTAAAAAACAAACAAAAAAAATGTGTAAAACAAGCCAACACGAGGGAACCATTTGTCGGGTATTCCCAAAATTATAGCAGTGCAACTTTCGTCCAGTACTGTCACAAAAGTATATTGTGGATTAAATATAATCAGTTTTAAATATTCTGAGAAGAGCAATGGTTTTTAAATGGTAATTATTAAAACTATTAGGGTTATTCAAATTAAAGGCTAGCATTGCACTTAGACAAAGACGAAAAGGTAGGATTAGGCTGTCCTTCAGACATTTGCATATCTCTCTTTAACTAATGTTTTTGGCTGTTGTGTTAAAGTATCTCTTAAACCATTGAACCAAATTTAATGAATGTGCAGAAGGTAATCACTGGATGCACCTCTGTAACGGATTAACTTTTGTCGACCCCATTTAAGATGAAGCTAAAGCTAGAGAGTCTGACAGCCAACGTTTGTTCACTAAAGCAAGAACATTCATAAAGCAGGCCAAACATTGGTAGTATTATTTACTGTATCTGCACACACTGACACACAATTTGGATACAATTTACATCGTCAGCGTGTCACTGTTTAAAGTCAAACGAATCAATCAAGCGAAATGATCTTACTTGTCACCCTTAATCCATCTCTCTCCCGTGACTGCCCTCATCCTCTGACGCTGCATCTCCAGACGCCAGTGTGGAGGAGTTTCACTCCGCCGATATCGATCTCTGGACCTTGAGCGGGAGCGTGATGGGGTTCGGTATCTCTGTTTGGAAATAAAATTAAAATAATAAACACACCAAACAAGCTAACTGTACCCAACTTTTGATAACAGAAATATGTTTAGACTTCATGGTTTTAAATAACAATTGAACATTTTTAATCTGAGCTCCTCACACCTACCCGTGGCCCCCTTCCTTTTATCTTCCTGCCTGATCGAGTTGTCACCACAAACCGTCTCTGATATGCTGACAGAGAATTATATGCTGCACTAAAAGAGAAGTGACAAAAATTAACACATGAAGACGATATTTCATGACGCGCTGCTTGAAAAACACCAACTTTTGTCTTGGCCTGTCCTCCTTATTCCTCTGATCTTTTTCCTCCTCCTTGTTTGACGTCTGGGTTGTTTGAGGGCTTCTTCTCATGAGGAAACGATTCTCAGGGATGGGTGGTATTTCTTCAGGACGTACAGTAGATGTGACCAGGTCTTCCTGCTCTTTTTCCTTTTCCTCCACGCTCTCAGCAACAGACCTGTAACATCATTATACTTCAAATGCTGCATGTTGTTTTCATAGCAGTCAAAACGGAGTAAATAATAACTTACTTTTTCTTTTCTTCCTTTTTCTGTTTCTTTTTCTGTTTCTTCGCCTTCTTTTTCCGCTTCTTGGATTCTTTTTCTGATTCTTCTGACTCAGATGATGACTTTGAGGAGGCTTCAGAATCAGAGGAGCCACCGCTGGACTTGGAGCCGGCTTTCTCTTTCTTTTTCTCAGATTTCTTTGCTACAAAAAGTATAATATTTTTTTAAAGCAGTTGGTAGACATTTAAATCTAATTTTAAAAACACTGTGGTTACAACAAACCTTTAGATTTAGGGATGAGTTCTCCACAGTTAAGGATTTTCACTTCAGCGTACGGCCTGCTGTTTGGATCCGTTTTCTGGTTCTCCATAGTTTGAACTACTTCTTGGCCAGAGATTACATGGCCAAAAACCACATGGACACTAAAAATATGAATAAATTAAATATAGTGCTCATTATACAATAAATTTGAGTTTTAGACATTTGCAAGCACTTACCCATCCAGATGTGGTGCCGGTTTTGTTGTTCTGAAGCATCACAGTCGGCAATAGAAAAAAAAAAAGAAGATCACATTCATTTATTAAACTTACTAGCATTGAATAACAACCACTTATACAACACATAAACAATATTTACTAGTGCTAAACTGTGCTTACATGAAAAACTGGGATCCGTTTGTATCTTTGCCCCTATTGGCCATAGACAGCAGGTAGTCCTTGTTGTGTTTGACAGCAAAGCTTTCATCTAAAGAGAAAAGGAGAAGATTTTACCGCCATCTTGAAGTCAACACCACTTTGGAAAACAACTGACAGGCACTTCCTTTACCTTCAAAAAAGCCTCCATAGATGGATTCGCCTCCTCTTCCATTTCCTAAAGAGGAATTTAGGGCATTATAAAAAACACTTTACATTTAAATGTTGATTATTTTGGATATTTGTGTTCACCTTCACTGAAATCTCCTCCTTGGATCATGAAGTCTTTAACAATTCGGTGAAAAAGGCATCCTTTGTAGTGCAGGGGCTTCTGAGTTCCTTTACCAATACCTTTCTCACCTAAATAAGTCAGAAGTGCACGGTAATCATTGATTTACACTGTGAATATTATGGTTAGTTTTTACAAAAATCATCCTTTTTTTTTTTTTATACCTGTGCAAAGGCATCTGAAGTTTTCACAAGTTTTAGGGCAGACATCTGCAAACAACTCCACCACAACTCTGCCAACTGTCAGGAGAAACCAGAGTCACGGTTTATTTTTGATTGCAGGACGTTGAGCTCAAACACACAGCTGTCACTGCAGAACGTACCGTTTGACGTTCGTTTAGCGTATATCAGTTTATATCTCAGATCCTTATTTGCAGTTTCTTTGTACACTTTATATTTTTGCTATTGTTTGATGTAACTGGGACCCTGTGTACACAATTTTGTTCCACTACATGTACCACATGTGGTGCGAATGACAATAAAGAATCTCTGACTCTGAGATTGTACCAAATAAAAAGCAGTTAAGACAACCGCCCACCTCAAACTTTAGTTTTAAACGCACTTTCAGAAGCTGAATTTGGTGGTGAATTCCAAAACCTTTGCAAATTTTCTCAGTAAAAAAATAAAAATATATCATAGTCTAAACAACACTGTACAAAAATCAAACTGCTTCATCCACATGAATATGTGTCAAACTAAAACCTCAATACCACAGGTTTTTTTTATTTGCATAAAATGGTTATTACTGGGGATGCACCAAGCAAACTTTAGTATCAGCCAATAGTCAACTTGTTGACATGTAAGATAAAATTCAAGTTATGTTTGACAAATAAAAGCATAACACCAAATATTTACCAAATTAGTGAGGAAAAATAAATTCCCCAGCAAAATCAATTTTTTACTAATTTCAGCTTGAATTCATTTGTAGCTTTGCTAGTATGCAAAAAAATCTATATGTGGAAAAAATATTGTCAAGTCCAAGAAAGAGGCCTGATCATTATCCCCAAATAAAAATACCTCACAGACCATTGTGAATAAAATATGCACCAATATTTTTTTAAAGAATGTTTTTTTTATTATTTCTGTGACGCTACCAGTCATTGAATACACAAGCACTGTTCCTGGTCCCAGTGTCCCCAAAGTTAGCAATCTTCATATTAAACATCTATCTGGACACATTTACAACAAGCGTCATATACATTTGAATTAATAAACTTTTGTACAAAAACAGTAACAAAGACCACTTTAACACTAGTTCATTTTACTTGGAAAAACATTTGTATTAATGACTACCCTAATATAGGCATTACAATTGTATAGGTATTATATTGGTATAATACAATATATCTATATATACCAATATATTATACATACATGCTTTGCAGACAAAACATATATATTTAACTTTTGCTATTCATTAAATACTATGGTCATGGGCATCACACGATATTAGTAATGTTCACCAAAAAACATTTTCTGGAACTGAATAGCAAACTGTGTTCTCACCAAGAACATTACTGATTCCGATGTCAAAGAAGCAGCGAGGGAGAACCTTGATCCCCATGTTCACGACCTTCAGACGACAAGCACACAGATAAAATACACAAATATAAGCAATCATGTCTTTTTTTTTACCTGCAGAAATCCCTCAATGATGCAACATGTCAACCGAAATAATATATGCCAAAATTGTTTCATAGTCTGACAGGCGTATTGAATATATAATAAACTACAAAACAGTTAATTATGTTTGCTATCAAATAAAAATCAGCCGAGTGATCAAAAATACACCGAGTAAATGAGGCTCTGACGATTAACTTCGTGGCTAGCTAGCTTTAGCCACCTATGACTTTGCTTTAGATTGAAACAATAAAATTGTTTAGTGATACAACAAGTGCTAAATTATTACAAACGCATATGATTTTACACAAACAAGACAATTTTTAACACAATAGGACGAAAATGACAAGCAAGCTCTCATAGTATTTGTAGGCCTGCCGTTAGCGTTAGCACCTCATTACGCTCACCATAGAAAGAGCTATGAACAGAGTGGGTTTGATGCAAAAAATGAAACATTAGTTTTACCATATTTACTACGTACAGACTAATACGTTCATAAACAGAAAACACACCACCTTGAAAACCAAGGATTTCAGTCCATGCAGCGACACGTTCTTACAAGGGACGAATATGAAGTTTCATTCACTGCTTGGCTCACTGTTTTCTAAAGATGGCGCGGCAGGGACGCCAAAGTACGCCGTGCGCATGCGCTAGTGTGAATTTTTGTTAAACGGGCCCTCAGACTTTTCTGCTAGGCAAAACATTTGTCTTCGCAAAGGCCCCACCTTTGGAACAATATTTATCCCCTCCCCACACAAATTCAATAACAAACGTACTTATTTACAAAGGCTTTAAGCAGAACTAAGTGAAAACATGTGTGGGAGCCCAAAAAAATTCAACTCTTGATGGCGAAATCCCGATAAAGCGACTGCATTCGCGTCAATACTGCCTGGAAGTTAAAAGTCAGGGTTAACATTACATTTATTACGTCACTTCATACGGAAGTAAAACTTCACACAGCCCAAATGCACGGTAATTTTTGACTTTAAGGAATATTAGTGAATGTGTCTTGTTAATGTAATGAATAATACATATGTTTTTCTGTAATATACAGGAATCTGGAAATAATTCCGGTTAAATGATGATGAAGGTTATTTAAGAAGATTCTGCATCCACGTGAGCTGTGAACAATTAGAAATCGGTAAATAAAGTCGTAATTAATGGGCTGTTTCTTCCCATTTTTCTTGAAAAGTGAGATCAGCATGCTTGATTAATCTGTGTAAGGTTTTTGTATTTGTTATGAAAATTGTTTAAACCGTTACACAGGTCAAATTGTTTTTTTTTTTTTACTTTTGTTTTTTTTACTTCTCCAATGACAAGTGTTGATTTGTCTGTAGGGCCGTGTTGTTGTGTCCTGACACTGAGCTGGAACAGCCATCACTAGTGAAATGAAGACCTCAAGTGTATGAGGATGTTTCGACTGCGATGTGTGAACCCCTGCCTCAGAAGGCTGCTCCATCTGGGTGCAGTAAACAGAGACCAGGTCCTGGAGGGGCTACAAGTTTGCTCCTCTGAAGACCAGGTGTTTGACGTGGTGAGCAAGAACAAAGCCAAGCTGACTGTGGACCATGTGAGCTGTGCTGTGAAGCTGCTGTGGCAGTTTCAGAAAAATAGACCTGAACTGATCCGGAACATCGACCACACCAACAGTCACCCACAGTTTCACGTGCTCAAGAGTCTGGCAGAGAACCAAATCACTCTAATGGACGATTTAATGTTGGTGGACACGATGTATGCTTTCTTCAGGTAAATTAATATTAGCAGTTTACTAGGGGAGGATTTATTCTGATCTCACTGTTGAGATTGCTGCCCACTTTATCTCTCTACCGTGCTTAGGCTGAATGTAGAACCACACAAGACTCTCTTGCAGCAGATGGTTTCAGAAGTATGGCTAAGAATAGACAGGTGTGTATTCATTACATTGTAATCAGTTTATTTTTGATTTAAGAAGTTGATTAGGACATCATAGATGCTCAAAGTTGTGTGCGTTTGGTTTATTTGCAGTTGATCCCCTGTGGTTTTACATGAACTTTTTGCAGATTGCCAATGTCATCTCTGTCCAAGTTTGCTGTCATGTTAACCTATCAGCACCATTTTAACAGTCCTTTAATGGGTCGAATTGCCAGCATTTTGGATCAGAAGTTGTACAGTATTGATGAAATCAGGTGAGTCATTTTACACCATGAGTACGCAATAAGCACCTCATATTTTTTGTTTACAATTGTTCTTTTTTTCCAGAGTCCTCGCGCCTCTGATGAACAGCGTGTCAAATCTCGTGTCTCCCCGGCTGCAGGATGCTCTGATGAGCAGGTTGAATCAGCTCCTGAACACCGGGGATTCCTTGAAATACAGCACCCTGCGCAAGGCGTTTAATTTCATGTACATCACCAAGTACATAGACCAATCTCTGCTGGAGAAGTACAACAAGATCTTCTTGTGCGAAATCTCCATCATGGATGTGGAGATGATCAGCATCATTATGAATATGTATCAGAAACTCCACTTCAAAAACTATGACTTCATACTTGCTGCTAAAGAAAGACTGACCGAGCTGATGGACACCAGCACTGACCCGTTCTCCTTCTGTAAACTGTTTGTCACTCTGGCTCCCATTGCTAGTACGGAGGTCAGAGGAAGGTCAGGATCATAGTGCATCAATACATGAGTGGACATTTACCATTGGTTTTAGGTTCCTCTGATCTAACCATGATCTTGCTCCTCTCAGGTTAGAGGGCATGGCCCTCCTGTTGGCAGATGAGTTCAGTGCTCGACAAATCTTGGCTATAACAGAAGCGCTGGCGAAAATTAAGAGTAGAAACTTTAGTTTACTGAACAAGTGAGTCAGCATATCAGTCACAAATCTCCAAAAATAACTAAAATGAACTTTTTATTATGATCGACCTGTTTTTCTTGAAAATTAAAATTCCCTAATGCTGTTCTTGATTCGTTAAAATATCAATCTCTTTTCCAGAATTGGGTTGCTTATCCAAAAGGACCTTCATGCCTACAATTCAGTGGACATTGCCAAAATCACCCAGGCCCTTATTTGTCTGCATTATCAGAACTCCCAGCTCTTTGCTGTATTAAGAACGGTTTTGCTCAGGTAAGTGTTTCATATCACCCACAAGGTGAAGGCCAGATAAACCACTGGACAGTTTTAAATGAATCATTCAGAAAGTATTTACTGGATATACATACAGTTTTGGGGTGAAACCATATAAAGAAGGCTGCCACAGGCAATTAAACTTATACATCACAAAAATGACTTTAAATCAGTTAATGTTATGAATATTAAGCTGAAAGTTGATGTGGTTATAGTCAAGAGTCATTTACAGCACATAATCCCAGTGCACCTCATTGTGATATCTTTGCTAAAAACCTCAGCATTAACCCTTAGGGTCAGTCTTGTTTGTCTGTTAGCAAAATATCTCATGAACTACTGGACAGATGGAATGATTTTTTTTTTTGTAAAAATAAATGAATTATTGGATTTATGTCTATAACTGATTATATTTTGGATTTGATCCATTTCAAGATGGCTGCTACAACTATTAGACATTAGCCAGCACAAATTGGGCTATAACCCAGTGAGTTTCCCTGAGACTGAGCTAAAGTTTGGTGTTGTAGTACCTTAACACATACCTTGAGCATGAGATTGTGCATGTTGTTTTTGTCAAAGTTTGACCAACTGCATCAATTCTCAACATCAGGTTATCTTAACCTGAAGTTCTGGTTCAGAAGGAGGCGGGGAATGTGCATTTCTTCAAGGAATGCTAGGCGTTTAATTAATGATAGATTGTTGCATTCCAGTGTGACTGAATCAAACTGGTGAGAATAAAACACCTTGCAGATTTTTGCAGAGCGCATTCTACCCGTCGGTGGTGGCCAAGCTGATTCAAGTTCTGTCCATGCTGCCCTCCCCGTGGCTCATTGAAGGCGTGGTCTCGCGGGTGGACGAAGTGATCCCACAGTGCAACCTCAGCGACCTCATCATCATCTCTGTCGCCGTTTCCAAGCAGGTCCAAAATGATCCTTTTTACTGCCATAACACTCACAGCAAATACATCAGGCTGCTGCAGAGGCTGAGCCACTGCAGCCGCGAGAGACTGCAGACCGCCGACCAGCTTGACTTGGTGCTGTACAACCTGAAATCCGTCTCAGGGGCGTGGTTCAGGGAGATGCTGGTCGAAGACACCATCATCACACTCAATAGGATGATAGATCAAATCAACTGGAACAACGTGTCTGAATGTGCCTTTTTCCTAGCCAAAATGGACTACCTCCACCGTCCTCTGTTGGACAGAATTGCCAGTGTGGCTGTGGAGCACATCGACAAGGTGCTTTCAAAAGACTGCAACAATTTTCTTATAAAACAACAATATTAACCATATTTATTTTTAATTTCTTTTCAGATTCACTTCTCAGCAGTGTATGACACCCTGCTACCTTTTTCTCACTTGAACTATGAACCGGCACAGGCAGAAGAACTCTATGATGCTTGCATTAAACATTTCACGCCTCACATAAGTACGTATTACGTCTCACTACCAATTTCTTCCTCGTAATTTTGTTGGAAACGTTTTCCCATATTTTATGTACCGTATATTCTTTTAGGCGCCTTTGACCCACGTTCGCTGGTCTTACTGGCGTTTTCCTTGGCAGTAGCTGGTCATTTTCCTGAAGAACTAGTCAAAGAAATCTTCAGCGTTGACTTTCTGAGAAAACTGGATGGCCAGTTGGACAGTAAGTCACCAGTTAAATTGTTCTTAAAATGAAAATGTGCACCTGTGGCAAAATAATCTTTTCAAACATGTTTGTAAACGCTTTGTGTAAAAGAGCTGAAGTTATTATTCATGTGTTTACAGGCCTGTCCTACGTCATTGCTGTGCGGATACGACAGACGCTCATGGAACTGAACCGTGCTCTGTGCCTCGAGTGTCCTCAGTTTCAGGTACCGTGGTTCCATGAGCACTACTGTCAGCAGCTGAAAAGGAAAGGTAGGAGGATGCAATGATGCGATGCCTTTTGGTTTAGAAGTGCAGTTTTCTTTTAAATAAACCGTACATTGCTTGCCGTTATGTGCTTTAGGGAACGGCACCGTCAGTCCTGTACAACAACAAATCCACAAAATGCTGGGTGAAGTCCTCGGAGGAATTAACTTTGTTCAAGTAGCTGTTGTCACTCCATATTTTTGCACTGTTGGTGAGTATTATACAACTAATCCTTTATATCTACCCTTCTCCTCTCTGAAAAGGTCACAAGTGAAAGAACGCAACACTTGCAATAAGCTCCAGTTACTTCTACACCTTTTACACCTTGGCTAAAGTTTTAATCAAAATCTATCTCATCAACAACAAACATCAATAGCTGTAAAATAGACTGAGGTATAGCTATTTATACGTTTGCTATGGTTGATTAGCTGTGGTGGCTGTCTTGAATTGGGTTGACTCCAAAAGTTGATCAGCTGTACATGCACATCCAAGGATTATTTAATTAAAGACCACCCAATGGCTCATGAGATATTTTGCCAACAGACAGAGTTAACTCCAACAGTAAGGCTTTAAACAAAGATCTTGTTCAGTCTGTTAGCGCTCAGATTATGTGTTGGGGATAGGGTGGCAAAGGGATGGAAAATTTCTGGTAATTTTCCGTAAACTTTACAGGCACTTTTCGTGGGAGGTTGAGCTGGGGGATTCTGGAAATATTTCAAACTGGAAACCTTATCTTGTTTGATCGGAAACCCACGCCTTTCTGATATTTTTACTCAAATGTTTGGAAACATACATTAATGTTGGGATATAATCAAATTAATATATATGTCATCTAGTGGTAGAAACATCAATACTGTGTGGTTTGGAATTTAAAAACTTGTTTATTCAGACAACGCAGCTTTCACAATTTTGTGTTAATACTGTACGCCTAATATTTTAACCCAGTAATAAGGCCAATAAGTCCCTCGTTTATAGTGGGGGATCTGTACCCTGAAGACCTGCGATAAGTGAAAAACCATGAAGTAGGAATAGTACAAGGACTAAGTAGTAGTTTATTTTTATTAT